GTATGAAACACTGAGTTGGATCAGTGATGTACATGAAACAGGTTTCACTGAGTTGTATCAGTGATGAGGATGAAACACAATGGAGATGAAACATGATGTAAGTGAAACATGATATAGGTGAAGCGTGATAGATATGAAACACTGATGTAGGTAAAACACATCAGGCAATAGGATCAGTCATAGAGTTACAGGGTCAACAACGAATAGTTTAGGAAAGAAAAGGGAACCCCCCCTCAGGCTGTAATATTACCCCCCTCTCCAGATTCGTTGTTCAGAGTTTCCACTGAGCGCGACACTCTTGTAGATATCCGGGTTCATTGGTGGGACAGGGAAGTTGTCCAGGCTGGATGTCGGCATTGGTGCGGAATTTATGGCGGGGATGTAGGAGACCGCAATAGGAACACAACCAGTGCCAACACTCACTTTGAAGATGACCATCAGTTTCGCATTTAGTACAGAAGCAAAGGTGACAAGGCATGGCGTTGGAAGGAGGAGTGATGATAGAGAACTCGTGTTGTTTGAGGTGTTCCTCCAGGTTGGCCGCTCTAAGATGAGCTCAGCATTGATCCATCTCCTATTGGGCACGAATTAGTTCAGCTCCTACCGATTGTCTTGTGGCCAGTAGTAGGTCGATTTTGGCATTGACAGCCCCGAAACGATCGACTTCATCAGTGACTCCAGGATCCTTGATATCTTGCAGCAATGCCCAAAGGCTTTCCAACAGGTTGTCATCTCGCATCAGCAGGTACTCCCAAGTGTCCTCCTCCCATTCTTTACCCAATTGGTTCCAATTCCCCACAGGTTCAGCCGGTCAAAGAACATCCGCTGCAGTTGTTGAGACCTGTCGTAATCCAAATGCAGGATTTCCATCGATGGGCATGCCCATAGGAGGTCTAGTAACAGTGGTGGTGTATGCTCCAGGGAAATAAGGTAATATGCGTTCCAAGGGATCGACATCTTGGACAGGGGTGGAGGTGTTGAAGGAGATGGATCGCCAATACTGAGTGACATTATTAGAGGGTCATTGGATTATGCCATCGCTGTAGACTACAAATTCCTGAGGATCGCTGCTGTGTCCTTCTGATGCGGTAATATATTCGCTGGCGTCAGCTAGTAACCGTAGGTTGGGAGCGTGGTTGAGGCTACCATTGTCAGAGACGTCCAAGGCGAGAGGTGGCATACTGGGTGAGTTGGTGGATGCAGCAAGGGGGCTATCAGGATTGGGAGAAGACGAGACATTCATAGGTGACGAGGATGGAAAGACCTGTGCAGGAGCAACGTGGTAAGATCTGGTGGTTGCTTCTGAGGACTGAGGAATTTCCAGGGGTCCAGGAAATTGATGCAAGACTACAGCGTCACTATTGGAAGAGTCTGGGGGTCCTGGGATGAGGAAGGGTTGTCGAGTGATGTTTGGCAGGAGGGGGGAAAACGGGATAACAGAAACCTCCTTCATCAAGGAACTCCAGAGAAGAGTCATCAGACTCTTGTCGAGAAGGGAAGCTTAGGATAGGATGCCTAGGAACTGGCATCTCTATTATTCTAGCCGTGAAACACTCTTCTAGAGTCTGGAGGTGGGAAGGGAAAGGGGTTGCCGCTCTCTGGGAGCCAGCTGTTGGAGAATTATTGTGCCTAAGAGCCAAAGGGCGACGATGCAGGTCCAGATTAGAAGTTTCATTGTTATTTCTGGCGCAGGTGTTATGCTCAGCAGGCATGAGAGAAAGCCAAGAAGAGATTTTTCTAGAAAAGACCAAGCCCAGAATACAAAGGAGAGCAACTACTACAGACAAAGATAACCCCCAGACACTAATCTTCATGCTCCCT